CACACACAGGCAAGGACTGGGGGCACACACACACACACACAGGCAAGGACTGGGGGCACACACACACACAGGCAAGGACTGGGGGCACACACACACACACACACACAGGCAAGGACTGGGGGCACACACACACACACGTTATAGTCTTCTGTCCTCGTGGGGACGTACAATTTATTTCCATTCAAAATCCTATTCTCCCTAACCCCTAAACCAAACACTAACACCTTCATCTAAACCCTAAGCTTAAAATAGACTTTGTCCTCACGGGGACGTGGGAAATGTCCCCACAAGGGAGAATTTTCTTTGTTTTACTATATCCTTTTGTGGACTTTTGGGAATTTTAGGGCCCCACAAGGATATAATAACCAACCCTCACACACCCACAGGTCATCTTTATGATGTCATAACGACACACTCATGATCTCAGGAGCGACTGTGACAACAGAACATCTCCATCATACAGACTAATACCACAGAGGGCAGGGAAGCTCCAAGATGGCTGCCTATGAGCCAGCCACTGGTGCCAGCAGTCACACAATAATTAGTCTCTTCCTGGAAACTGGTAACCAGGGTTGGTTTCCTGTAAGAGACATATCCATACAACAGCACTTAGGCCTACAGGAGGAGTTTGATTCTAAAAAAAAAAAAAAAAAAAAAAAAGTATCTTGAGAGAAAAGTTTAGCAAAATTTTAGCAACTGCAGCACTTTTTTTTTGGAAGTGCTGACAAAATAGGTGATATGATACGCCATGTATATGAATCCATAATGCACCATGTAGTCAAAGCTCTCACTTTAAACTGTCACAAGGGTACGGTCGTTTGTCCCTATATTCAATAGCTGAATGGGGCTCTCGCCCTTCGGAAGTCTTGTCACTACCAGCAGTAATGATATGCATTTTCTTTTCAGTCTTGCAGAGTAGACATTCTAACATTCTGCATTCCACAGGTTGTGACAGGCAGTTCTAGCCCTCCAAAAAGGTAAAGTGGTGTCAAAGTTTTCCCCTAAAGAACAGTCTGAGTAAGGCTAGCTGTCAGCCGGCTCTCACACAGCTGAACGGAACGGAAAGAAACATCCATTTTATTTTATAGCAGACGGACTCATCTGACACATCATTAACCATAAAGGACATCCGTATGTGTGTCTTAAGAGAGAGAGAGGGTGTGTGTGTGTGTCTGTGTGAAATAAAGTGTGTGTGCGTGAGAGAGAGCCAGTAGAAGTGAATACATTTTCTCATTGTGATTATTCCTCAACATGCATCTTCTACTACTGATTGGATCATAGATAAGAGTATGGAGACTAACTAGAAAACTAACTAGACTAACTAGAAAACGAACTAGAAAACTAACTAGACTAACTAGAAAAACAATGATTCTTCACTCTAGTTTTTGTCTAAGTTCTCAGGAAAGTGGTTCAAATTTCAGTTGTTTCTAAAAGTTGAGAGAAACTAGTTGACAGGGTTACTAAAACAGCTGTATGTGGTTGACAGGGTTACTAAAACAGCTGTATCTGGTTGACAGGGTTACTAAAACAGCTGTATGTGGTTGACAGGGTTACTAAAACAGCTGCATCTGGTTGACAGGGTTACTAAAACAGCTGTATCTGGTTGACAGGGTTACTAAAACAGCTGCATCTGGTTGACAGGGTTACTAAAACAGCTGTATGTGGTTGACAGGGTTACTAAAACAGCTGTATGTGGTTGACAGGGTTACTAAAACAGCTGTGTCTAGTTGACAGGGTGACTAAAACAGCTGTATCTAGTTGACAGGGTTACTAAAACAGCTGTATCTTGTTGACAGGGTTACTAAAACAGCTGCGTCTAATTGACAGGGTGACTAAAACAGCTGTATCTGGTTGACAGGGTGACTAAAACAGCTGTATCTGGTTGACAGGGTGACTAAAACAGCTGTGTCTAGTTGACAGGGTGACTAAAACAGCTGTATCTAGTTGACAGGGTTACTAAAACAGCTGCGTCTAGTTGACAGGGTTACTAAAACAGCTGTATCTTGTTGACAGGGTTACTAAAACAGCTGCGTCTAATTGACAGGGTTACTAAAACAGCTGTATCTGGTTGACAGGGTTACTAAAACAGCTGTATCTGGTTGACAGGGTTACTAAAACAGCTGTATCTGGTTGACAGGGTGACTAAAACAGCTGTATCTGGTTGACAGGGTGACTAAAACAGCTGTATCTGGTTGACAGGGTTACTAAAACAGCTGTATCTGGTTGACAGGGTTACTAAAACAGCTGCGTCTAGTTGACAGGGTTACTAAAACAGCTGCGTCTAGTTGACAGGGTTACTAAAACAGCTGCGTCTAGTTGACAGGGTTACTAAAACAGCGTATGTGGTTGACAGGGTTACTAAAACAGCTGCGTCTAGTTGACAGGGTTACTAAAACAGCTGTGTCTAGTTGACAGGGTTACTAAAACAGCTGTATCTGGTTGACAGGGTTACTAAAACAGCTGCGTCTAGTTGACAGGGTTACTAAAACAGCTGTATCTGGTTGACAGGGTTACTAAAACAGCTGCGTCTAGTTGACAGGGTTACTAAAACAGCTGTGTCTAGTTGACAGGGTTACTAAAACAGCTGTATCTGGTTGACAGGGTTACTAAAACAGCTGCGTCTAGTTGACAGGGTTACTAAAACAGCTGTGTCTAGTTGACAGGGTTACTAAAACAGCTGTATCTGGTTGACAGGGTTACTAAAACAGCTGCGTCTAGTTGACAGGGTTACTAAAACAGCTGTATCTGGTTGACAGGGTTACTAAAACAGCTGTGTCTAGTTGACAGGGTTACTAAAACAGCTGCGTCTAGTTGACAGGGTTACTAAAACAGCTGCGTCTAGTTGACAGGGTTACTAAAACAGCTGCGTCTAGTTGACAGGGTTACTAAAACAGCTGCGTCTAGTTGACAGGGTTACTAAAACAGCTGCGTCTAGTTGACAGGGTTACTAAAACAGCTGCGTCTAGTTGACAGGGTTACTAAAACAGCTGTATCTCTGGACTATATCTGTTCTAATAGCAGATACATACACTAAGTTTGTGTCTGACTTGTTGGGAAAGTAGTCAAAATAGGTGATTTGTGTCGGGGGGGGGAACAGCTGGAGACAGATGGAAAAAGACACAGAGAGCCAGAGTTGTCTGTCCTTAGTGGATTTATGATTCATCATTTCAACACCATAAGAACGGTCTGATTACACCAGACAGACAGAGGGATGGGAGACATTCACTCTGAACCACATCAACAGGCTAGAATAAAGACCAGATCCACTATCCCGAGTGCCAGTCTGTGCTGTCATGCCAACTCCTTGTCACTCTGTCATGTTTGGCTTGACAATGGGCAATGGAGTTGGCAAGAGCACAAACAGGATCTGGGATCAGGCTACAGTTCTCCCTCTTGTGTTATACTGTGTGTTAAAATACAAATCAAGTAATACTGTCTTGGTCATCATTAGTAGAGAGATTGAAGTACTTGATTTATAAAATTATTTTTCTAAAATAATCAACTTTGTGTTAATCAGTCTGTATATTAAGTCACTGCTCTCTGTCAATCACACCAAATTAAGAAGTGAGTTGATTGCATCCTTCAGTTCTGCTCGGGTTCCCCGCCCGACTAGAAGCGCAGGCGTTGCATTTGCATCAACCAATGGTTGCGCGCCACATCAAATCGACTGTGCAGTCCCCCATTTCAGATTGCTATAACATATGATGTGGTCAGCTGATATGTTAAACGCATATCCTGCCGACGTGAGATCTGGCACGCGTCAGCAATCTAGGTCGGGCAGGAACTCAACCCATCTGTGCAAGTGTCCTCCGGCTCTGATGTCACCACCAGCGCTGACCAATCCTGGCTCTTTGGAACTCATTAAAGCTACTGGACGTGAACATTATGGACATCTAAAAGATATCTCTACTAGTCAACTCTTATCCCGAGTTACAACCGGTGTGAAAAGAGCATCTAAAGCAGTGGTTCTCAACTGGTGGGTCGCTACCCAAAAGGTTTTGAGTGGGTCGCAACCCAAAAGGGTTTGAGTGGGTCGCAACCCAAAAGGTTTTGAGTGGGTCGCAGGTGTCAGTGAAAAGAAAAGTAAATAATTATTGGGACTAATACCAGGTAGAACGTGTGGAAAATATTATCATTAACCAACATTTAAATCCCTTATTCCCGAAAATGACTTTTCTTTCAATCACAGTATTTTCAATATAGAGCGATTAGCAGCGCTAATTAGCAGATTGTGTGGTCTCAAACAAGTGAGCTTGCCAACATTCTTCATCAAGATTATGAGCAATATGGAATTAATGACAAATGAAAAAGGTGGGAATGTTGTTCCCTTGTCTAATATAATTGCTACATTTACTGTCAAAATAGTATTAAAAAGAGTTTTCCAAATTGCATTTTGGCAACAACAAAAAAGAAAAATCACAATGTGAATATTGGATCGCGACAGAGAAACTGCTTCAATTTGGGTCCCGAGGGAAAAAAAACAGTTGAGAAGCACTGATCTAAAAGGTTGTGGTGAGAGATGCGTACAAATATACAACCAAACTGTCTCCCTGCATCCATAGCAACGTAGTTTCGGTTAGGGTCTCTCTACACAGGGGGCAGGTGGACTTGTTGCTAGAAGGTGGTCTTCTCTACACAGGGGGCAGGTGGACTTGTTGCTAGAAGAAGGTCTCTCTACACAGGGGGCAGGTGGACTTGTTGCTAGAAGAAGGTCTCTCTACACAGGGGGCAGGTGGACTTGTTGCTAGAAGAAGGTCTCTACACAGGGGGCAGGTGGACTTGTTGCTAGAAGAAGGTCTCTCTACACAGGGGGCAGGTGGACTTGTTGCTAGAAGGTGGTCTTCTCTACACAGGGGGCAGGTGGACTTGTTGCTAGAAGAAGGTCTCTACACAGGGGGCAGGTGGACTTGTTGCTAGAAGAAGGTCTCTCTACACAGGGGGCAGGTGGACTTGTTGCTAGAAGGTGGTCTTCTCTACACAGGGGGCAGGTGGACTTGTTGCTAGAAGAAGGTCTCTCTACACAGGGGGCAGGTGGACTTGTTGCTAGAAGTAAACCACTTGTACTGGAGAGGAGGGGAGAGATAAGAGACAGCGTGAGTAACATGACAATGAGTGTGAGTTTGTGTGTGATAACCTACAGTCGTGGTCAAAAGTTTTGAGAATGACACAAGTATTGGTCTTCACAAAGTTTGCTGCTTCAGTGTTTTTAGATATTTTTGTCAGATGTTACTATGGTATACTGAAGTATAATTACAAGCATTCCATAAGTGTCAAAGGCTTTTATTGACAATTACATTAAGTTTATGCAAAGAGTCAATATTTGCAGTGTTGACCCTTCTTTTTCAAGACCTCTGCAATCCGCCCTGGCATGCTGTCAATTAACTTCTGGGCCACATCCTGACTGATGGCAGCCCATTCTTGCATAATCAATGCTTGGAGTTTGTCAGAATTTGTGGGTTTTTGTTTGTCCAGCCGCCTCTTGAGGATTGACCACAAGTTCTCAATGGGATTAAGGTCTGGGGAGTTTCCTGGCCATGGACCCAAAATGTCGATGTTTTGTTCCCCGAGCCACTTAGTTATCACTTTTGCCTTATGGCAAGGTGCTCCATCATGCTGGAAAAGGCATTGTTCGTCACCAAACTGTTCCTGGATGGTTGGGAGAAGTTGCTCTCGGAGGATGTGTTGGTCCCATTCTTTATTCATGGCTGTGTTCTTAGGCAAAATTGTGAGTGAGCCCACTCCCTTGGCTGAGAAGCAACCCCACACATGAATGGTCTCAGGATGCTTTACTGTTGGCATGACACATGACTGATGGTAGCGTTCACCTTGTCTTCTCCAGACAAGTTTTTTTCCGGATGCCCCAAACAATCAGAAAGGGGATTCATCAGAGAAAATGACTTTACCCCAGTCCTCAGCAGTCCAATCCCTGTACCTTTTGCAGAATATCAGTCTGTCCCTGATGTTTTTCCTGGAGAGAAGTGGCTTCCTCGCTGCCCTTCTTGACACCAGGCCATCCTCCAAATGTCTTTGCCTCACTGTGCGTGCAGATGCACTCACACCTGCCTGCTGCCATTCCTGAGCAAGCTCTGCACTGGTGGTGCCCCGATCTCACAGCTGAATCAACTTTAGGAGACGGTCCTGGCGCTTGCTGGACTTTCTTGGGCGCCCTGAAGCCTTCTTCACAACAATTGAACCTCTCTCCTTGAAGTTCTTGATGATCCGATAAATGGTTGATTTCGGTGCAATCTTACTAGCAGCAATATTCTTGCCTGTGAAGCCCTTTTTGTGCAAAGCAATGATGACGGCACGTGTTTCCTTGCAGGTAACCATGGTTAACAGAGGAAGAACAATGATTTCAAGCACCACCCTCCTTTTAAAGCTTCCAGTCTGTTATTCTAACTCAATCAGCATGACAGAGTGATCTCCAGCCTTGTCCTCGTCAACACTCTCACCTGTGTTAACGAGAGAATCACTGACATGATGTCAGCTGGTCCTTTTGTGGCAGGGCTGAAATGCAGTGGACATGTTTTTTGGGGGGGGATTAAGTTCATTGTCATGATAAAGAGGGACTTTGCAATTAATTGCAATTCATCTGATCACTCTTCATAACAATCTGGAGAATATGCAAATTGCCATCATAAAAACTGAGGCAGCAGACTTTGTAAAAAAATAATATTTGTGTCATTCTCAAAACTTTTGACCACGAGCGTATATGCCTCTGAGTGTGTTCTCTTGTATTGCAGTTTGTGCACATGAGTGCTTGTGTGTTGTGTTGTGGTGTGGTGTGGTGTGGCGTGGCGTGCGTTTGCATGCGTGCGTGCGCTGTCCTGTGTAAATATCCGCCACTCACCAGACAGGCAGAGTGGAACTTCTTCTTGCAGGTGCGGCAGGCCTTCTTGGGCAGAGAGTAGTTGGATCCGTGGATAACAGAGAAACAGATCATACAGTCCTCTACTCCTTCAAACCGCTTATCCACGTTGGTCTTCCACAGCGTCAGGCCCTCCATTATACTGCCGTTCTATTATTATTATTACAGAGAGAGAGAGAGAGAGTGAGAACATGATAGTTAGCGCAACACTTAAAGCACAAGTGTGAGGTATGTATCAGGCACCGCTCTAACAGGTCAGGTGAGGTATGTATCAGGCACCGCTCTAACAGGCCAGGTGATAGGTGAGGTATGTATCAGGCACCGCTCTAACAGGCCAGGTGATAGGTGAGGTATGTATCAAGCACCACTCTAACAGGCCAGGTGATAGGTGAGGTATGTATCAGGCACCACTCTAACAGGCCAGGTGATAGGTGAGGTATGTATCAGGCACCGCTCTAACAGGCCAGGTGATAGGTGAGGTATGTATCAGGCACCGCTCTAACAGGCCAGGTGATAGGTGAGGTATGTATCAAGCACCACTCTAACAGGCCAGGTGATAGGTGAGGTATGTATCAGGCACCACTAACAGGCCAGGTGATAGGTGAGGTATGTATCAGGCACCACTCTAACAGGCCAGGTGATAGGTGAGGTATGTATCAGGCACCACTCTAACAGGCCAGGTGATAGGTGAGGTATGTATCAGGCACCACTCTAACAGGCCAGGTGATAGGTGAGGTATGTATCAGGCACCACTCTAACAGGCCAGGTGATAGGTGAGGTATGTATCAGGCACCACTAACAGGCCAGGTGATAGGTGAGGTATATATCAGGCACCACTCTAACAGGCCAGGTGATAGGTGAGGTATGTATCAGGCACCACTCTAACAGGCCAGGTTATAGGTGAGGTATGTATCAGGCACCACTAACAGGCCAGGTGATAGGTGAGGTATGTATCAGGCACCACTCTAACAGGCCAGGTGATAGGTGAGGTATATATCAGGCACCACTCTAACAGGCCAGGTGATAGGTGAGGTATGTATCAGGCACCACTCTAACAGGCCAGGTTATAGGTGAGGTATGTATCAGGCACCACTCTAACAGGCCAGGTGATAGGTGAGGTATGTATCAGGCACCACTAACAGGCCAGGTGATAGGTGAGGTATGTATCAGGCACCACTCTAACAGGCCAGGTGATAGGTGAGGTATGCATCAAACATATGTATATATTACATTTACATAAGTATTCAGACCCTTTGCTATGAGACTCGACATTGAGCTCAGGTGCATCCTGTTTCCATTGATCATCCTTGAGATGTTTCTACAACTTTGATTGGAGTCCACCTGTGGTAAATTACATTGATTGGACATGATTTGGAAAGGCACACACCTGTCTATATAAGGTCCCACAGTTGACAGTGCATGTCAGAGCAAAAAACAAGCCATGAGGTCGAAGGACTTGTCCGTCGAGCTCTGAGACTGGACTGTGTCGAGGCACAGATCTGGGGAAGGGTACCAAAAAATGTCTGCAACATTGAAGGACACAGTGGCCTCCATCATTCTTAAATGGAAGAAGTTTGGAAGCACCAAGACTCTTCCTAGAGCTGGCCGCATGGCCAAACTGAGCAATTGGGGGAGAAGGGCCTTGGTCAGGGAGGTGACCTGATGGTCACTCTGACAGAGCTCTAGAGTTCCTCTGTGGAGATGGGAGAACCTTCCAGAAGGACAACCATCTCTGCAGCACTCCATCAATCAGGCCTTTATGGTAGAGTGGCCAGAGGGAAGCCACTCCTCAGTAAAAGGCACATGACAGCCCGCTTGGAGTTTGCCAAAAGGCAAACTCTTGTTTCTCAGACTATGAGAAACAAGAGTCTGTGGTCTGATGAAATCCAAGATTGAACTCTTTGGCCTGAATGCCAATTGTCACGTCTGGAAGAAACCTGGCACCATCCCTACGGCAAAGCATGGTGGTGGTAGCATCATTGCTGTGGGGAAGTTTTTCAGCGGCAGGGACTGGGAGAAGAGTCAGGATCGAGGGAAAGATGAACGGAGCAAAGTACAGAGAGATCCTTGATGAAAACCTGCTCCAGAGCGCTTAGGACCTCAGACTGGGGTGAAGGTTCACCTTTCAACAGGACAACAACCCTAAGCACACAGCCAAGACAACACAGGAGTGGCTTCGGAACAAGTCTCTGAATGTCCTTGAGTGGCCCAGCCAGAGCTCGGACTTGAACCCGATCGAACATCTCTGGAGAGACATGAAAATAGCTGTGCAGGGACGCTCTCCATCCAACCTGACAGAGCTTGAGAGGATCTGCAGAGAAGAATGGGAGAAACTCCCCAAATACAGGTGTGCCAAGCTTGTAGCATCATACCCAAGATGACTCGAGGCTGTAATCGCTACCAAAGGTGCTTCAACAAAGTACAGAGTAAAAGGTCTGAATACTTCTGTAAATGTGATATCCGTTTTTAGTTTTTTATAATTTTGCAAAATCATATTGTTACCTGGTGAGTGTGTGTGTGTGTGTTACCTGGTGAGTGTGTGTTACCTGGTGTGTGTGTGTGTGTGTGTGTGTGTTACCTGGTGAGTGTGTGTTACCTGGTGAGTGTGTGTGTGTTACCTGGTGTGTGTGTACCTGGTGAGTGTGTGTTACCTGGTGAGTGTGTGTGTGTGTTACCTGGTGAGTGTGTGTTACCTGGTGAGTGTGTGTGTGTGTTACCTGGTGAGTGAGTGTTACCTGGTGTGTGTGTGTGTTACCTGGTGAGTGTGTGTTACCTGGTGAGTGTGTGTTACCTGGTGAGTGTGTGTTACCTGGTGAGTGTGTGTTACCTGGTGAGTGTGTGTGTGTGTTACCTGGTGAGTGTGTGTTACCTGGTGAGTGTGTGTTACCTGGTGAGTGTGTGTTACCTGGTGAGTGAGTGTTACCTGGTGTGTGTGTGTTACCTGGTGAGTGTGTGTTACCTGGTGAGTGTGTGTTACCTGGTGAGTGTGTGTGTGTTACCTGGTGAGTGTGTGTTACCTGGTGAGTGTGTTACCTGGTGAGTGTGTGTTACCTGGTGAGTGTGTGTGTGTGTTACCTGGTGAGTGTGTGTTACCTGGTGAGTGTGTGTTACCTGGTGAGTGTGTGTGTGTGTTACCTGGTGAGTGTGTGTTACCTGGTGAGTGTGTGTGTGTGTTACCTGGTGAGTGTGTGTTACCTGGTGAGTGTTACCTGGTGAGTGTGTGTGTGTGTTACCTGGTGAGTGTGTGTGTGTGTGTGTTACCTGGTGAGTGTGTGTGTGTGTGTGTGTTACCTGGTGAGTGTGTGTGTGTGTTACCTGGTGAGTGTGTGTTACCTGGTGAGTGTGTGTTACCTGGTGAGTGTGTGTTACCTGGTGAGTGTGTGTTACCTGGTGAGTGTTACCTGGTGTGAGTGTTACCTGGTGTGTGTTACCTGGTGTGAGTGTTACCTGGTGTGTGTTACCTGGTGAGTGTTACCTGGTGTGTGTTACCTGGTGAGTGTGTGTTACCTGGTGAGTGTGTGTTACCTGGTGAGTGTGTGTTACCTGGTGAGTGTGTGTTACCTGGTGAGTGTGTGTTACCTGGTGAGTGTGTGTTACCTGGTGAGTGTTACCTGGTGAGTGTTACCTGGTGAGTGTGTGTTACCTGGTGAGTGTGTGTTACCTGGTGAGTGTGTGTTACCTGGTGAGTGTGTGTTACCTGGTGAGTGTGTGTTACCTGGTGAGTGTGTGTTACCTGGTGAGTGTTACCTGGTGAGTGTGTGTTACCTGGTGAGTGTTACCTGGTGAGTGTGTGTTACCTGGTGAGTGTGTGTTACCTGGTGAGTGTGTGTTACCTGGTGAGTGTGTGTTACCTGGTGAGTGTGTGTTACCTGGTGAGTGTTACCTGGTGTGTGTTACCTGGTGAGTGTTACCTGGTGTGTGTTACCTGGTGAGTGTGTGTTACCTGGTGAGTGTGTGTTACCTGGTGAGTGTGTGTTACCTGGTGAGTGAGGTATGTACTGAGCTGTAACATCCAGTTCCTCCATTGTTGTACAGCCACCCCCACCCTCCTTCCACTCTCTACTGTGATAGAGCCTAGAGGATAGTTCTGAGGCAGCTGGATCACCAGCTCTATGAAGATATCATCCACAGAGTAGGTAGCTATCACCTCCCGCGCTGCCGAACGGGCTTTCACCTAGGAGACAGAGAGAGACGGAGAAAGAGAGAGGTTAACTCCACTATAATGATATCATCCACAGAGTAGGTAGCTATCACCTCCCGTGCTGCCGAACGGGCTTTCACCTAGGAGACAGAGAGAGACAGAGAAAGAGAGAGAAAGAGAGAGAGAGAGAGAGAGAGAGAGAGGTTAACTCCACTATGATGATATCATCCACAGAGTAGGTAGCTATCACCTCCCGTGCTGCCGAACGGGCTTTCACCTAGGAGACAGAGAGAGACGGAGAGAGAGAGAGAGAGAGAGAGGTTAACTCCACTATGATGATATCATCCACAGAGTAGGTAGCTATCACCTCCCGTGCTGCCGAACGGGCTTTCACCTAGGAGACAGAGAGAGACGGAGAGAGAGAGAGAGAGAGAGAGGTTAACTCCACTTTGATGATATCATCCACAGAGTAGGTAGCTATCACCTCCCATGCTGACGAACGGGCTTTCACCTAGGAGACAGAGAGAGACGGAGAGAGAGAGAGAGAGGTTAACTCCACTTTGATGATATCATCCACAGAGTAGGTAGCTATCACCTCCCATGCTGACGAACGGGCTTTCACCTAGGAGACAGAGAGAGATGGAGAAAGAGAGAGAGAGGTTAACTCCACTTTGATGATATCATCCACAGAGTAGGTAGCTATCACCTCCCATGCTGACGAACGGGCTTTCACCTAGGAGACAGAGAGAGACGGAGAGAGAGAGAGAGAGAGAGAGAGAGAGGGGTTAACTCCACTATGATGATATCATCCACAGAGTAGGTAGCTATCACCTCCCGCGCTGCCTAACGGCCTTTCACCTGGAGAGAGACACAAGGGACTGTGAGTCAGACCAACAGGACCCTGAACAGCTTCGACCCCTAGCCATAAGACTGCTAAATAGTTAGTTTGTATCTATTTGGTGAACTATTTAACTATCTGCATTGACCCTTTTTGCATTTATTTCTACTCGTCATATACGCTGCTGCTACTGTTTATTATCTATCCTGTTGCCTAGTCACTCTGTGGCATTGTGTTGTGTGACAAAACTGCACATTTTAGAGTGGCCTTTTATTGTCCCCAGCACAAGGTGCACCTGCGTAATGATCATGCCGTTTAATCAGCTTCTTGATATGACACACCTGTCAGGTGAATGGATTATCTTGGAAAAGGAGAAATGCTCACTAAGAGGGATGTTAACACATTTGTGCAAAAAAAATTCAGCTCATGAAACTTTGGGACCAACACTTTGCATGTTGCGTGTATATTTTTGTTCAGTATAAAAAAGCTGTATCTGGTTGACAGGGTTACTAAAACAGCTGTATGTGGTTGACAGGGTTACTAAAACAGCTGTATGTGGTTGACAGGGTTACTAAAACAGCTGTATGTGTTTGACAGGGTTACTAAAACAGCTGTATCTGGTTGACAGGGTTACTGAAACAGCTGTATGTGTTTGACAGGGTTACTAAAACAGCTGTATGTGTTTGACAGGGTTACTAAAACAGCTGTATGTGTTTGACAGGGTTACTAAAACAGCTGTATCTGGTTGACAGGGTTACTAAAACAGCTGTATCTGGTTGACTGGGTTACTAAAACAGCTGTATCTAGTTGACAGGGTTACTAAAACAGCTGTATCTGGTTGACAGGGTTACTAAAACAGCTGTATGTGGTTGACAGGGTTACTAAAACAGCTGTATCTGGTTGACAGGGTTACTGAAACAGCTGTATGTGTTTGACAGGGTTACTAAAACAGCTGTATGTGTTTGACAGGGTTACTAAAACAGCTGTATGTGTTTGACAGGGTTACTAAAACAGCTGTATCTGGTTGACAGGGTTACTAAAACAGCTGTATCTGGTTGACTGGGTTACTAAAACAGCTGTATGTGTTTGACAGGGTTACTAAAACAGCTGTATCTGGTTGACAGGGTTACTAAAACAGCTGTATCTGGTTGAGGGTTACTGAAACAGCTGTATGTGGTTGACAGGGTTACTAAAACAGCTGTATGTGTTTGACAGGGTTACTGAAACAGCTGTATGTGGTTGACAGCGTTACTAAAACAGCTGTATCTGGTTGACAGGGTTACTAAAACAGCTGTATCTGGTTGACAGGGTTACTAAAACAGCTGTATCTGGTTGACAGGGTTACTAAAAACAGCTGTATCTGGAACTTGGATAAAATACCTCCGTGTGGTTCCTCCTTCTGAAAAGACCCAATCTGTGGCACAACCTCTTCCAGGTCCTAATACTTACAATAATAATGTATTTGTATGTGCTAAAAGAGCAAGGATTTCCTTGTCACTAAAGCCAAATTCTAAAATATAGTTTGACCAGGCCATCTACCTCAGGCATTTCAACGGTGGTGGACACAGCAACAGGGAGACATGCAATTAATGACCAAATCCCCTACTTTAATCTTGAACTATAACTGCGAATTTATTATCCAAATGTAGACGTTATTCTTGAAATATTGGCACTTCATTCACACCTGTTTTATGTTTATTTTTTTTCCAGATATTGGCACATTTTTAGTACCATTTATTTATCTTCCATTGGCCCTTATACTCTTCTGTACTTATCACATGTAAAATATATAAAATAATCAAATAAGATGATTTTAAACTAAAAATAGAATAATTCCATCAATTTAGTGAATGCCGTTGGTGTTTAACGAGGGTATCAGCATATTTTGTTACACACATATATATTTTACAATGTCAATATGTCTTTGTTGTAAATGTTCTGTGGCCAAACTGGTGTCAGTTGTGAAGGCAAGAGTTAGAAGAGTTTCAGAGATACTTGAAATTAATGCCATTGTGGATAAGATGCTTTTTTCATTCATTTATATTTTCTCCTAAACCATATGGTCTATCCCCAGGGTTCTTCAATTCCGGTCCTGGAGGGCCGAAACATCTCTGTTTTTCATCCTCTCCTTCTAATCAGGGGCTAATTCAGAACCTGGGACACCAGGTTAGTGCAATTAACTACCAGGTAGAAATAAAAAACAGAAGTGTTTCGACCCTCCAGGACCGGAATTGAAGAACCCTGGTCTATCCACTAGCTCGATCTCCAATGCATTTGTAGTCGATCACCAAACATTCCTGTAAAAAAACAGCAACGATAAAAGCATTGTGTTCCTATATCTTTCTTTCGTTTAGCGCTGTTGGCGGTAGGTGCACTTGATTCAGCAGCCCTGGCGCCGGGAAGGAAAAGTGTTCCCATTTTGAACCATTTCATGTGTCTGAAGGTAGAACTCAGCATACCCGGCAGGCCCAGAGAGCAAATCAAGTGCACCTATAGTCCTACCGCTGGCTGCTCAGACCACCGTGACTGCACAGTTTCCTCGGACCATAGGTAGGGCCTGGGCGATATGGCCAAAATATCATATCACAGTATTTTCCAAATTGACTGTATTTGATGTTTTTGAATAATACAAGTTCTACATTTGCTTTATGAGCAGTGCGTGACCCTATAGTGGCAACATACATTCTAAGTGATTGAATTTAATGTGTCTTTCTCCATTCTGATTTGTTTTATACTGTTCAACTAAACTTCAACCAAAAATACATTTATGTATTTCCTGCACTAATTTGAGAATTTCCACACTGCCACGTAGGGCTGTACGATATGGGCAAAAAAAATCGAGGCCTTATTTTTAACCAAACGTTGCAATTACGATTTGACTTGCGATTTAGATCAAAACACTTGGGTGAACTGTTGGAATCATGGAAATAGAATGATTATGATAAGTCTGTAGTTAGAATATAATAGTGGGCACTTTGAATACAGTGTTGTTTGACATGACAACGAATGAAAATGCCAGGGAGCAGTTATTGTGACAGGGTAGGAACCAAAGTGTTGGTCAGTGTTTCCTAGGGGACCCTATAATCTTTGGCTACGTTAAAATGTTCTCTCTTATCTACTTCATGTAGCTAACATATTCATTCACCTAATCCTCTTTGGTTTAGAAGATACTGTTGCACGAACATGCCGATTTAGGCCTACAAAATCACTGGTATCAGACTGTATAGCTAGCTACGACTCAGTACATTTATTAGATAGCTAGCGATTAGCATTAGCGGCTAACACGATTTAGCCACAACTTGCTAAGAAAAGAGAAAACTAGCTATTTGCAGATGTAAGAAACACAAACGAATAGTGTAATTGTAGAACGCTAGTGGATTTATATTAAGAAGCAAAGTGAAAACAGCATTGTTGTCGTCAACATTGTCACATGTGCTGCATTGACCACGCAGACTGATCGCAAGAGTCTCGTGGTCGAGCAACAGCAAAGTCGATACTGTGTAGTGATGGGCATTCTTTTCGGTGAGCCGGCTACTTTAGCTCTGTTCACGTAAAAGAGACGTCTCATTTGGATCCCAAACGGCTCTTTGTAAAAACATGATTTTTTTAACGACCTAGAACCATGAAAAAATTGCTAAAAACTCCAATGTAAAGCCCAAAAAGGTAGGCTACCTTTATGTCAGATCATGAAATGCATGTTCAAATACATTTTTACCTCGCCAAATTATTAGATGGCCTGCTCTCCCCACTATTTACTGTTTCTGCAGTGAGGATTCACCCTCTTTAGAGAATTATTTTGTAACTTATCTGCAGAAAAACGTTGTTTTTGAGCTCAAATAGCAGTAGTAGCAGTATGCAAATCAGCGAGCCAAATGAACGGCTCATTCACCGATGCGATCAGGTTCCCGACGTTCACAAAAAGATCCGTTCCAAAAGAGCCGTTCGTTCGCGAACGACCCATCACTAATACTGTGAGAGTTCAAAACTTTTAAAACCATGACTAGAGAGAGTCAATGAATACAGCAAAAAAACATTGTTATTCAGCACTGTCAACACTTGTTCAACAAGGAATATTTCACTTTCTCTGGTCATAGGAGTACCAACATGAATTAGTGCATGAGGCAGAAGTAATGCTGTGCGACTTGAGTTTTGCAATCAGCTGGAAGACTGTGTCCCCTTTTCTCAGCAGAGGGAGGGAGATTGGAGGGACGGTGAGCCGGGTGAGATGCAGCCTCACCGCTGTTCTATCCCCCCCCCCCCCTCACTTACAATCAGATGCAGACCATCAGTCCAGTAAAATAAAAAAATATAAATTATTACACTCACTCAGCTGTGCCTCACAAGTAATACAACAAATGATCTATTACCAGTGTGATCATATACCTACAATTCTGAAATATAATTTCAAAATGCTCTGAGAAGAACAACATTGGCAGGACAATTCAAGCGTAGCCAATATGTAGTGATAATGTATTGGCCCTATAGCTTACTGCACAAACCTCATGGCTACAGAACTGTTTTGTCTAGGTTAATGGCTTTTTAAAGTCATGTAAAAAAAGATATCTCTGAACGGTAGATCTCGGCTTGCTTTTGGACTCAGAAAGGGATCTTGACTCAGAAAAGGACTAAACTGTCCCTTAGTGGAAGAGCGTGCTCATCCCCTGGACTAAACTGTCCCTTAGTGGAATCAATTTAATCCATTTTGAATTCAGGCTGTAAAAGCAAAATGTGGAATAAATCAAGGGGTATGAAGCCCCCCCCCACCCCCTACCCCCTACCCCCTACCCCACCCACACACATCCATCCTCCCTGCTCTACTCACGGTCATGCTGTCGAAGGTCTGTGTGCTGGCGTGTACAGAGGAGATCTCCTGAGCAGAGAGGACAGGCGAGACGTATCGTCCTGTGAACTTATCCACCGTGTGGCTAACTCTCTTCTCCTGACTGGTCCACCACAACCTAACCATGGCAGGCAGGTCCTGTACTGCACTGTAGTACACACAACACGCCAGATGGGGGAGCTCATACTGGATACCAGAAGACTCTGCAGAGAGAGGGAGAGCGACAGAGAAAAGACAGCCGCATTAGAGACAGACGTGTGTGTGTTCGTGAGTGTGTGTGCATGCTATGTGTGTCCGTGTATGCTACCCACTGTTGACGTCCAGAGAGAGGCTCTCTGTGAAGAATGTCTTGGTCTCCTTGGTGACAGGCTCCGCCCCCTGGCCGGTGAAGGTGGGGTTTTCAGGCATCAGTCTGAACAGGTGGAGGAGGAGCTTGTGGAGGGACTTCTTTAGGTAGAGAGAGTACTGGACACGCAGCTGGAGAGAGAACACACAGGTCAGCATAGAACCCTTCTTTAGGAAGAGAGAGAACTGGACACGCAGCTGGAGAGAGAACTGGACACGCAGCTGGAGAGAGAACTGGACACGCAGCTGGAGAGAGAACTGGACACGCAGCTGGAGAGAGAACTGGACACGCAGCTGGAGAGAGAACTGGACACGCAGCTGGAGAGAGAACTGGACACGCAGCTGGAGAGAGAACACACAGGTCAGCATAGAACCCTTCTTTAGGTAGAGAGAGAACTGGACACGCAGCTGGAGAGAGAACTGGACACGCAGCTGGAAAGAGAACTGGACACGCAGCTGGAAAGAAAACACACAGGTCAGCATAGAACCCTTCTTTAGGAAGAGAGAGAACTGGACACGCAGCTGGAAAGAAAACACACAGGTCAGCATAGAACCCTTCTTTAGGAAGAGAGAGAACTGGACACGCAGCTGGAGAGAGAACTGGACACGCAGCAGGAGAGAGAACTGGACACGCAGCTGGAAAGAAAACACACAGGTCAGCAAAGAACTCTTCTTTAGGCAGAGAGAGAACTGGACACGCAGCTGGAGAGAGAACTGGACACGCAGCTGGAGAGAGTACTGGACACGCAGCTGGAGAGAGAACTGGACACGCAGCTGGAGAGAGAACACACAGGTCAGCATAGAACCCTTCTTTAGGTAGAGAGAGAGTAGAGACTGACACAGTAATCCTTCCTTTGTCCTTGTATCCTCATTCCTCCCCTTTCAAAAAGCTCAACGGAGTTCAGAAAGAAAGGGCCTTGGATCCTCTCCTGCAATGAGCTTTGAGAGGGGAGGGGGAGAAATTAGGAAAAAGGCAATTGACAGCTAGTTGAAGTTTTTACGGATTTCAAGAGGAGAAGGTGGAATAATACGACCCTCACTCCAGGGTTGGGATTAATCCTACCTATATGTACACATCTACCTCAATTACCCCCTGCACATCGACTCGGTACTGGCACCCTCATGTTTATAGCCAAGTTATCGTTACTCATTGTGTATTTATTCCTTGTGTTAATACTTTCCTTTTATTTCTCTTTATTTCTCTTTTTTATCTCTCTGTATTGTTGGGAAGGGCCTGTAAGTCAGCATTTCACTGTTCGTCTACCCCTTGTTGTTTACGTAGCATGTGACAAATACAATGCAATTTTATTAGAATTCCATTTGAATTCCAGTTAATTCAGAGAGTAAACAACATTCCAATTCCGCATTTTCTTCATTGAAAAGCATTGGAATTTCAGTTTACTTCCTGAATTGACTGGAATTTAAATGGAATTGACCCAAACCCTGACCAAACTCTGTCAAACTTTTTTTAATTTAAATTGTAAAGTTTGTAAATTGTAAGGCCTGTAAATATAGGCAGCCGAAGTCTGACTACAGTGAGGGTGAAAGACAAGTCAACAGATAGACCTGTTGGGGAATACTTGGCGAGTTAGCTCGTTAGCTAGCCTAGCTATAGACTTAGCTGGTTAGCTAGCCTAGCTATAGACTTAGCTGATTAGCTAGCCTAGCTATAGACTTAGCTGGTTAGCTAGCCTAGCTATAGACGTAGCTGGTTAGCTAGCCTAGCTATAGACGTAGCTGGTTAGCTAGCCTAGCTATAGACGTAGCTGGTTAGCTAGCCTAGCTATAGACTTAGCTGGTTAGCTAGCCTAGCTATAGACGTAGCTGGTTAGCTAGCCTAGCTATAGACTTAGCTGGTTAGCTAGCCTAGCTATAGACTTAGCTGGTTAGCTAGCCTAGCTATAGACGTAGCTGGTTAGCTAGCCTAGTTATAGACGTAGCTGGTTAGCTAGCCTAGCTATAGACGTAGCTGGTTAGCTAGCCTAGTTATAGACTGGTTAGCTACCTTGAACGGAAATAACAACAACACCTAACCGCTAAAATGTATGGACTACTGTAGGAACCTACACAGTGGTGAGAACAGGCGCTGCATTATGTAGCTGAGCCATGAGGAGACAGACCACCAGATATACCCTGGCATTATGTAGCAGAGGAGACAGACCACCAGATATACCCTGGCATTATGTGGCTGAGGAGACAGACCACCAGATATACCCTGGCATTATGGAGCTGAAGAGACAGACCACCAGATATACCCTGGCATTATGTGGCTGAGCCATGAGGAGACAGACCACCAGATATACCCTGGCATTATGTAGCTGAGGAGACAGACCACCAGATATACCCTGGCATTATGTGGCTGAGCCATGAGGAGACAGACCACCAGATATACCCTGGCATTATGTGGCTGAGGAGACAGACCACCAGATATACCCTGGCATTATGTGGCTGAGCCATGAGGAGACAGACCACCAGATATACCCTGGCATTATGTGGCTGAGGAGACAGACCACCAGATATACCCTGGCATTATGTGGCTGAGGAGACAGACCACCAGATATACCCTGGCATTATGTGGCTGAGGAGACAGACCACCAGATATACCCTGGCATTATGTAGCTGAGGAGACAGACCACCAGATATACCCTGGCATTATGTGGCTGAGGAGACAGACCACCAGATTACCCTGGCATTATGTGGCTGAGGAGACAGACCACCAGATATACCCTGGCATTATGTGGCTGAGGAGACAGACCACCAGATATACCCTGGCATTATGTGGCTGAGGAGACAGACCACCAGATATACCCTGGCATTATGTGGCTGAGCCATGAGGAGACAGACCACCAGATATACCCTGGCATTATGTAGCTGAGGAGACAGACCACCAGATATACCCTGGCATTATGTGGCTGATCCATGAGGAGACAGACCACCAGATATACCCTGGCATTATGTGGCTGAGGAGACAGACCACCAGATATACCCTGGCATTATGTAGCTGAGGAGACAGACCACCAGATATACCCTGGCATTATGTAGCTGAGGAGACAGTCCACCAGATATACCCTGGCATTATGTAGCTGAGGAGACAGTCCACCAGATATACCCTGGCATTATGTAGCTGAGGAGACAGACCACCAGATATACCCTGGCATTATGTAGCTGAGGAGACAGTCCACCAGATATACCCTGGCATTATGTGGCTGAGCCATGAGGAGAAACTAAAATGTTTTTTTGTCCGTTGTGTATTTCCGTTTTTGGAATATTTAGATAAAGCCTGGAATAAAAGAAAAGGGCTAGCTATAATTAACTTATAATATAGTTAGCTCCTATACAGCAAATGGTACATGTGTATATACAGTTGAAGTCGGAAGCTAACATACACTTAGGTTGGAGTCACTAAAACTCATTTTTCAACCACTCCACAAATTTCTTGTTAACAGACTATAGTTTTGGCAAGTCGGTTAGGACATCTACTTTGTGCATGACACAAGTAATTTCTCCAACAATTGTTTACTGACAGATTATTTCACTTATAATTCACTGTATCACAATTCCAGTAGGTCAGAAGTTCACTGTGCCTTTCACTGTGCCTTTAAACAGCTTGGAAAATTCCAGAAAATGATGTCATGGCTTTAGAAGCTTCTGATAGGCTAATTGACATCATTTGAGACAATTGGAGATGTACCTGTGGATGTATTTCAAGGCCTACCTTCAAACTCAGTGCCTCTTTGCTTGACATCATGGGAAAATCAAAAGAAATCAGCCAAGACCTCAGAAAACAATTTGTAGACCTCCACAAGTCTGGTTCATCCTTGGGAGCAATTTCCAAACGCTTGAAGGTACCACGTTCATCTGTACAAACAATAGTACGCAAGTATAAACACCATGGGACCACACAGCCGTCATACCGCTCAGGAAGGAGACACGTTCTGTCTCCTAGAGATGAACGTACTTTGGTGCGAAAAGTGCAAATCAATCCCAGAACAAAAGCAAAGGACCTTGTGAAGATGGAGGAAAAAGGGGGGTTGCTTGCAAGCCGAAGAACACCATCCCAACCGTGAAGCAAGGGGGTGACAGCATCATGCTGTGGGGGTGCATTGCTGCAGGAGGGACTGGTGCACTTCACAAAATAGATGGCATCATGAGGAAGGAAAATTATGTGGATATATTGAAGCAACATCTCAAGACATCAGTAAGGAAGTTAAAGCTTGGTCGCAAATGGGTCTTCCAAATGGACAATGACCCCAAGCATACTTCCAAAGTTGTGGCTAACTGGCTTAAGGACAACAAAGTCAAGGTATTGGAGTGGCCATCACAAAGCCCTGACCTCAATCCTATTTAAAATGTGTGGGGAGAACTGAAAAAGCGTATGCGAGCAAGGAGGCCTACAAACCTGACTCAGTTACACCAGCTCTGTCAGGAGGAATGGGCCAAAATTCACCCAACTTATTGTGGGAAGCTTGTGGAAGGCTACCCGAAACGTTTGACCCAAGTTAAACAATTTAAAGGCAATGCTACCAAATACTAATTGAGTGTATGTAAACTTCTGACCCACTGGGAATGTGATGAAAGAAATAAAAGCTGAAATAAATCATTCTCTCTACTATTATTCTGACATTTCACATTCTTAAAATAAAGTGTTGATCCTAACTGACCTAAGACAGGGAATTTTTACTAGGATTAAATGTCAGGAATTGTGAAAAACTGAGTTTAAATGTATTTGGCTAAGGTGTATGTAAACTTCCGATTTCAACTGTAAGTATTGATTTATTTGTCACTCTTTATGCGGTGTGCACCGCACAGAACACCGGAAATAATTATTACTGAATTACCACAGCGAATTATTGTAACATTTGTTTATGTGTCAATTAATCTGCTTAGGGATCGGTTGCCAATTAACTGTCATTAATTAATTCACGGCAGTAGACTTACGTGAGAGGGAGAAGCCTTGAAGAAGGACAGCAGAAGTTTCCAGGCCAGCAGGTAAGCCAGTATACAGCAGTACTCCACAGACAGAGGCTGAACCACTGCATACTCGCCTACACACACTCCGACCATGATGCTCTCACACAACTCCTCACACGTGGAGAGGAGGGTCATCAGAGCAGCCGGGGGAGACCTACACACAGATCGTTAAATACACATCATTAGAAAACACACACACATATATTTTAGCAATAAAGGCATGAAAACCTGGGGATTATGGTGTAAATAACTCTGAACTAAGGGCTGTTAAGTCAGCGGCAAAGCCAAGGGAAACAGCCCTTACGATAATTCCCGGGTTTGCCAAACAGACTGGTCGTTAATTATATTCTCATGTTCTGACCCAGTAGTTCATTCTATTCATTCCACGTTGCTAAACAAATCATTGGCATGTAACACTACCAGTCAAAAGTTTGGACACACCTACTCATTCAAGGATTTTTCTTTATTTTCTACATTGTAGAATAATAGTGAAGACATCAAAACTATGAAATAACACATATGGAATCATGTAGTAACCAATAAAAAAGTGTTAAACAAATCAAAATATATTTTATATTTGAGATTCTTCAAATAGCCACCCTTTGCATTGATGACAGCTTTGCACACTCTTGGCATTCTCTCAACCAGCTTCATGAGGTAGTCACCTGGAATGCATTTCAATTAACAGGTGTGCCTTCTTAAAAGTTAATTTGTGGAATTTCTTTCCTTCTTAATGCGTTTGAGCGAATCAGTTGTGTTGTGACAAGGTAGGGGGGGTATACAGAAGATAGCCCTATTTGGTAAAAGACCAAGTCCATATTATGGCAAGAACAGCTCAAATAAGCAAAGAGAAACGACAGTCCATCATTACTTTAAGACATGAAGGTCAGTCAATCCAGAACATTTCAAGAACTTTGAACGTTTCTTCAAGTGCAGTCACAAAAACCATCAAGCACCATGATGAAACTGGCTCTCATGAGGACCTCCACAGGAAAGGAAGACCCAGAGTTACCTCTGCTGCAGAGGATAAGTTCATTAGAGTTACCAGCCTCAGAAATTGCAGCCCAAAGTCAACATCAACTGTTCAGAGGAGACTGTGTGAATCAGGCCTTCATGGTCAAATTGCTGCAAAGAAACCACTACTAAAGGACACCAATAAGAAGAGAATTGCTTGGGCCAAGAAAGAGGAGCAATGGACATTAGACCGGTGGAAATTTGTCCTTTGGTCTGGAGTCCAAATTTGAGATTTTTGGTTCCAACCGCCGTGTCTTTGTGAGACGTGGTGTGGGTGAACGGATGATCTCCGCATGTGTGGTTCCCACCGTAAAGCATGGAGGAAGAGGTGTTATTGTGTGGGGTGCTTTGCTGGTGTCTGTGATGTATTTAGAATTCAAGGCACACTTAACCAGCATAGCTACCACAGCATTCTGCAGCGATACACCATCCCATCTGGTTTGGGCTTAGTGGGACTATCATTTGTTTTTCAACAGGACAATGACCCAACACACCTCTGTATTTCATTTTCAATAAATTCACCCAAAAAAAATCTAAAAACATGTTTTCAGTGTCATTATGGGGTATTTTCTGTAGATGGGTGAGAAATAAATATTTTTCATCCATTTTGAATTCAGGCTGTAAGACAACAAAATGTGGAGTAAGTCAAGGGGTCTGAATACTTTCCGAATGCACCGTAGATACGCTAGCCCATTAGCAACGTTACGACTGACTTGTGATCATTGCCCTTGCTAGTTTGTTTTGTATTGACATTCGTCCGTTTTTTGTTCAAAATATTGAGTCATTGAAACTGAATCCCGAATGGCTGCAGGCAGCAAACAATGTACCAGGCCAGCTGTGATTTACAACCTGATAGCAATATTTGTTGGACCACCAAGAAACGTATTGTTGGATTATATGAATCATGTATTGAATTGCATCCATCTATTCTGCCAACAATGCCTTAGAGTACGTCATGGAATGTTGAGTCAAATATAACCTCATTTTTAAAACCTCTTATGAAGCTGATTTTTGCAGCATTACCTGGTAATTGGATATTTTGGCCTGATATTACGATTGTCTGTTTGTTTCATATCTGCAAAGTAGTTAAAACGCTGTCAGTTCCACTTGAACTAACAGATAGATTCCACAGAAACACCCCACCCAGGGCTGTTATACTCACAGACACGGTTCCTCGCCATCTTCGTCTGGCTTGGTGTCGTCTACGTCTTCATCACACTCTGGGAGAGTCGGCATTATCCTGGAACACACAGAGGTCACGCTGCATTACCGTGGAACACACAGAGGTCACGCTGCATTACCCTGGAACACACAGAGGTCACGCTGCATTACCCTGGAACACACAGAGGTCACGCTGCATTACCCTGGAACACACAGAGGTCACGCTGCATTACCCTGGAACACACAGAGGTCACGCTGCATTACCCTGGAACACACAGAGGTCACGCTGCTTGACGCTGAATCTAGAGTGAGCCCAGGAGGCTTGTCGTACGAGTAGGTATTCACGTTGCAATATATTGCTAATATGCCGTCTGACCATGTGTTCTCGCATACCCCGAGAGCATCTGGTCAGAGGGGTGGTGGCACAGGAATCCTCATCTCTCCCAAGTGGACATTCTCAATTTTTCCCCTAACCCATCTGTCTATCTCCTCATTTGAATTCCATGCTGTCACAGTCACTAGCCCATTTAAGCTTAATATCCTTGTCATCTATCGCCCTCCAGGTTCCCTTGGAGAGTTCATCAATGAGCTTGACGCCTTGATAAGTTCCTTTCCTGAGGATGGCTCACCCCTCACAGTTTTGGGGGATTTCAACCTCCCTACGTCTACATTTGACTCATTTCTCTCTGCCTCCTTCTTTCCACTCCTCTCCTCTTTTGACCTTACCCTCTCACCGTCCCCCCCTACTCACAAGGCAGGCAATACGCTTGACCTCATCTTTACTAGATGCTGCTCTTCTACTAATCTCACTGCAACTCCCCTCCATGTCTCCGACCACTACTTTGTATCCTTTTCTCTCTCGCTCTCGTCCAACACTACTCACTCTGCCCCTACACAGATGGTAATGCGCCGCCGCAACCTTCGCTCTCTCTCTCCCGCTACTCTCTCCTCTTCCATCCTATCATCTCTTCCCTCTGCTCAATCCTTCTCCCTCCAATCTCCTGATTCTGCCTCCTCAACCCTCCTCTCCTCCCTTTCTGCATCCTTTGACTCTCTGTGTCCCGTATCCTCCCGGCCGGCTCGGTCCTCCCCTCCAGCTCCGTGGCTTGATGACTCATTGCGAGCTCACAGAACAGAGCTCCGGGCAGCTGAGCGGAAATGGAAGAAAACTAGACTCCCTGCGGACCTGGCATCTTTTCACTCCCTCCTCTCTACATTCTCTTCATCTGTTTCTGCTGCTAAGGCCACTTTCTACCACTAAATTCCAATCATCTGCCTCTAACCCTAGGAAGTTCTTTGCCACATTCTCCTCCCTGCTGAATCCCCCCCCTGGACAACACCTGGACAACACCCTGTCGTTCTCCGCTAACATCAAGGCGGTGACCCGATCCTGCAGGTTCATGCTCTACAACATTCGGAGAGTACGACCCTGCCTTACACAGGAAGCGGCACAGGTCCTAATCCAGGCACTTGTCATCTCCCGTCTGGATTACTGCAACTCGCTGTTGGCTGGGCTCCCTGCCTGTGCCATTAAACCCCTACAACTCATCCAGAATGCCGCAGCCCGTCTGGTGTTCAACCTTCCCAAGTTCTCTCACGTCACCCCGCTCCTCCGCACACTCCACTGGCTTCCAGTTGAAGCTCGCATCTGTTACAAGACCATGGTGCTTGCCTACGGAACTGTGAGGGGAACGGCACATCCGTACCTTCAGGCTCTCATCAGTCCCTACACCCAAACGAGGGCATTGCGCTCATCCACCTCTGGCCTGCTGGCCCCCCTACCTCTGCGGAAGCATAGTTCCCGCTCAGCCCAGTCAAAACTGTTCGCTGCTCTGGCACCCCAATGGTGGAACAAGCTCCCTCACGACGCCAGGACAGTGGAGTCACCTGACCACCTTCCGGAGACACTTGAAACCTCACCTCTTTAAGGAATACCTGGGATAGGATAAAGTAATCCTTCTACCCCCCCCAAAAAAATAAATAATAATAATAATAATAATAATAATAATTGTAAAGTGGTTGTCCCACTGGCTAAGGTGAATGCACCAATTTGTAAGTCGCTCTGGATAAGAGCGTCTGCTAAATGACGTAAATGTAAATGTAATGCAGAGTTATTAACTTGTTTAAACAAAGTTCCCTCTCTTACTTGTCTAGTATGTGGTAGACAGTGAGTTCCATCTCTTACTTGTCTAGTATGTGGTAGACAGTGAGTTCCATCTCTTACTTGTCTAGTATGTGGTAGACAGTGAGTTCTATCTCTTACTTGTCTAGTATGTGGTAACAGTGAGTTCCATCTCTTACTTGTCTAGTATGTGGTAGACATGAGTTCCATCTCTTACTTGTCGTATGTGGTAGACAGTGAGTTCCCTCTCTTACTTGTCTAGTATGTGGTAGACAGTGAGTTCTATCTCTTACTTGTCTAGTATGTGGTAGACAGTGAGTTCCATCTCTTACTTGTCTAGTATGTGGTAGACAGTGAGTTCTATCTCTTACTTGTCTAGTATGTGGTAGACAGTGAGTTCCTCCTCTTACTTGTCTAGTATGTGGTAGACAGTGAGTTCCCTCTCTTACTTGTCTAGTATGTGGTAGACAGTGAGTTCTATCTCTTACTTGTCTAGTATGTGGTAGACAGTGAGTTCCATCTCTTACTTGTCTAGTATGTGGTAACTTTAAACTTTTGTCTTTGGGCCAGACCCCTTTTTCCCCAACAAACCATTGGTCATTTTTTTTCTGGCCCCCCTGGGAGGTTTGGGTTTTTTGGGCAGTAATTGGTTGTTGTCGGACAAAGTTGGAAGTTTTAGAAGGGAAAAGGGAGTTTGATCGGAACATTAAAATTTATTTTAAAACTGTAGGGTTTTGGGGTTTTAAAAAAAAAATTTAAATTTTTTTATAAAAAGAAATGGGGGGTTTTTAGTTGCCCAGTTGGATGGGGTTTTTTTTAAAGGGAAAATTTGGGATGAGGTTTTAAAGAAAATTTTATTATTGTTAGTATGGAAAACAGAAAATATTTATTGTTAGTATTTAAAAAGTGAGTTTTTATTGTATATTGGGAGTGGGTTTTGTTGCTAGAGGGGTTGGGTTTTATTATTTAGGCGTATGGTGAGGTTTTTTTTTTTGGCTATATGGAGGGGGGTTTTTTATGGCTGTTGGTTTAGGGTATTTTCTTTATGTTGGGTTTTTTTAGAAGGATTAATTTATTTTAGTTGGAAAACAGTATATTAGGTTTTTGAAAGGATATTTTTATTTTTTATATGGGACAGTATTTTTATTGTTGGGATTTTGGTGAGGGGTTTATTTGGCTAGTAGGGGGTGAAAGGGTTTTGTTGGTTTGGGGGTTTTGGTTGTTTTTGGGGCGTTTTTTGTTTTTTGGGGCCTTTTGGTGTGGTTGGTTTTGGGCTTTGGTGGGGTTTTTTTGCTTTTTGGTGGGGGTTTTGGTTTTGGAGTGGGTTTTTTTTTGGGGTGCTGGGTTTTTATTTTTGTGTGGTAGCGGGTGAGTTTTTTTTTGGCCTGTTGGGGGGTGGTTTTGAAGGGAAAGGAGGTTTTTGATGGCCCCTTTGGTGGGGGGGTTTTGGTCAAGCCCGGTAAAGGGGTTGGGTAAATTAGCGGTTTGGGTGGAAAAGGGCGCCCCGGGGCTTGTTGGCTTGGTTCTTCGGGGGAAAGGGAAGGGTTTTATTTTGGACCCCCCCTTTTAGTGGGGTTTTGTTGAAAAATGGCTTTGGGTGTGGTTTTCCTGGAAATTTAAAAAGGTGTAAGGGTTTTTTAGTAAGGACTTTTGGGTTTTGAGGTTTTTAGTAGGACTAGTATGGTGTGGGTTTTAGTATGGGCTAGTAGGGGATTTAGGTTTTGGTATCGGATAGAGGATGTGGTTGTTAGTAAGGAATTGGGTGAGGTTGTTGTAAGGACAGTAGGATGTATTTGTTATTAAAAGGTTTATTTGGGAGGATCTGATTGAAGTTAAAACCCCAAATCCCTAAAAAGGGAAAAAAAAAAGGGAAAGAAACCCCCCCAAAACCCCAGGGGGAAAACCCCCCTTTTTTCCCCCCCCCCCCCCCCAAATTTTTCCCCCCCCAAAAAAAAAAAATTTTTCCCCCCCCCCCCCCCCCCCCTTTTTGGGGGTTTAAAAAACCCCCCCCCCCCCCTTTGGGGCCCCCCCCCCCATTTTTGGATTCCCCCCCCCGGGGGGGTTTTTTGGGGCCCCCCCTTTTTTTCCCCCCCCCCCCCTTTATCCCCCTTTCCCCCCCCCCCCCCCCCCCCCCCCCCCCCCCCGCCCCCCCCCCCCCTTAAAAAACCCCTTTTTTCCCCCCCCCCAAAAAAAAACCCCCCCCCCCCCTTTTTCCCCCCCCCCCCCCCCCCTTGGGGGGGGGGGGGGGGGGGGGGGGGGGGGGGGGGGGGGGGGGGGGGGGGGGGGGGGGGGGGGGGGGGGGGGGGGGGGGGGGGGGGGGGGGGGGGGGGGGGGGGGGGGGGGGGGGTTTTTTTTTTTTTTTTTTTTTTTTTTTTTTTTTTTTTTTTTTTTTTTTTTTTTTTTTTTTTTTTTTTTTTTTTTTTTTTTTTTTTTTTTTTTTTTTTTTTTTTTTTTTTTTTTTTTTTTTTTTTTTTTTTTTTTTTTTTTGGTATTAATGGACTGGGATAGGTTATTAGTATAGGACTAGTATGGATGTAGGTTGTTAGTACAGGACTAGTATGGATGTAGGTTGTTAGTATAGGACTAGTATGGATGTAGGTTGTTAGTATAGGACTAGTATGGATGTAGGTTATTAGTATAGGACTAGTATGGATGTAGGTTGTTAGTATAGGACTAGTATGGATGTAGGTTATTAGTATAGGACTAGTATGGATGTAGGTTGTTAGTACAGGACTAGTATGGATGTAGGTTGTTAGTATAGGACTAGTATGGATGGGATACTGTTCATAATGACAGTCAACACCCACAACAATCACAAAACACACCCTGACCCCCCCACCACACAACAGCACACTGACCCCCCCACCACCACCCCCCCCCCTACAACCCCCTGACCCCCCCCACCACCCCCCCCCCCCCACCACACCCTTCCCCCCACCACTACCACCTACCCCCCCCACCCCCCCTGACCCCCCCCCCCCCCACCCTTACCCCCCCACCAGCCCCACCCTGACCCCCCCCACGCACACACACACCCTACCCCCCCCCCCCCCCACCACTCCCCTACCCCCCCCCCCCCTCCCCACCACCTCCTGCCCCCCCCCCCCCACCCCCCCCCCCCACCCCCCCACACCCTTACCCCCCCCACCCCACACCTACCCACCCTTACCCCGCCCCCCACCCCCCCCACCACACCACTGACCCCCCCCCACCTTCAACCACCACCCCTTACCGACCCCCCCCCCACCCACCCCCCACCTACACCCCTTACCCCCCCACCACACATACCCACCCACCCCCCCCCCCCCACCACACACAAACCCTACCCCCCCACCACACCCTACCACCCTTACCCCCCCCACCACACATACACACCCTGACCCCCCCCCCCCACCACACACTGACCCCCCCCCCCCCCCCACCACACACTGACCCCCCCACCACACACAACCCACCCTACCCCCCCCCCCACCACACACTTACCCCCCCACCACCACACAACAACTTACCCCCCCCACCACACACCCCCAACCCAATCCCACCCTTCCCCCCCCCCAACACCACATACACACACCACAACTTACCCCACCCCTGACCCCCCCCCCCCCCCCCCCCCCCCCCCCATCCTCCAGTGATTTTTCCAGGCAGGGCAGCATCAGCTGTATATCCCCTCTATGAAGACAGTCGTTCCACCTCTGCGGTCAGCTCTGAGGCAGTAGGTCAGCCACACCAGGCAGGGGCGCTGTGGAAGAACTGGTTCAGCTTGCACGACCATCTCACATGATCTCACACACTAACAACTGCACCCAGGGGTTCCACAGACCCCCTTATCACTGGAGTCGGGGGGAAGAGTAGAGGAGAGAGGGAATGAGAGAAGAGAGGAGAGGAGAGAGAGGAGAGAGAGAAGGAGAGAGCAGAGAGGAATAGAGCGATAGAGATATAGACAGAGAAGGAGAAGATGACGAGAGTACATATATAGACAGCAGGAAGAGTCGAGTAGAGGCTGATCAGTTCTATCCTGTAGCTATATATATAGACTGTACAGGAGCATAACTATATGAAATATCTAACAGACTATATACATGAGACATAGCCAGATGAGTACTATAGAGCAATATCCTGAGCCAAGAGACTAGTAGATCTGACGAGGATACATCTAAATAGTCATCATATGAGATATTTGGAGAGATCTATTTAGCCATTATCATCAGATAGCCATTCTATGACCCAGATCTATAGAGATATTAACAATATAACGTTTGAGTAGTAGAGTGTAGCTGTAAAATGAAACGTGTCTGGAACCTTGGTGTGACGCTGGACAACACCCTGTCGTTCTCTGCAAACATTAAAGCAGTGACTCGCTCCTGCAGGTACATCCATAGAGTAAGACCTTTCATCACACAGGAAGCCTTGTGTTCAACCTTCCCCAGTTCTCCCATGTCACCCCCCCCCCCCCCCCCCGGCTATGCTCAAACCCTACACCCCAACCTGAGCACTCCGTTCTGCCACCTCTGGTCTCTTGGCCCTCCCACCCCAATGGTGGAACCAGCTTCCCCCTGAAGCTAGGACAGCAGAGTCCCTGCCCAACTTCTGAAAACATCTGAAACCCTACCTCCTCTTCAAAGAGTATCTTAAATAAGACATCTCAGTAAGTCAAATTATCCTCTTTCCCTACTAGCACTGACTTTGCAGATAACTTTTTTTTATTGAGGAAAAATGTACACTGCTCCAAAAAATCTGAATGAATGAAATAATCTTATTAAATACTTTTTTCTTTACATAGTTGAATGTGCTGACAACAAAATCACACAAAAATGATCAATGGAAATCAAATGTATCAACCCATGGAGGTCTGGATTTGGAGTCACCCTCAAAATTAAAGTGGAAAACCACACTACAGGCTGATCCAACTTTGATGTAATGTCCTTAAAACAAGTCAAAATGAGGCTCAGTAGTGTGTGTGGCCTCCACGTGCCTGTATGACCTCCCTACAACGCCTGGGCATGCTCCTGATGAGGTGGCGGATGGTCTCCTGAGGGATCTCCTCCCAGACCTGGACTAAAGCATCTACCAACTCCTGGACAGTCTGTGGTGCAACGTGGCGTTGGTGGATGGAGCGAGACATGATGTCCCAGATGTGCTCAATTGGATTCAGGTCTGGGGAACGGGCGGGCCAGTCCATAGCATCAATGCCTTCCTCTTGCAGGAACTGCTGACACACTCCAGCCACATGAGGTCTAGCATTGTCTTGCATTAGGAGGAACCCAGGGCCAACCGCACGCACCAGCATATGGTCTCACAAGGGGTCAGAGGATCTCATCTCGGTACCTAATGGCAGTCAGGCTACCTCTGGCGAGCACATGGAGGGCTGTGCGGCCCCCCAAAGAAATGCCACCCCACACCATGACTGACCCACCGCCAAACCGGTCATGCTGGAGGATGTTGCAGGCAGCAGAACGTTCTCCACGGCATCTCCAGACTCTGTCACGTCTGTCACGTGCTCAGTGTGAACCTGCTTTCATCTGTGAAGAGCACAGGGCGCCAGTGGCGAATTTGCCAATCTTGGTGTTCTCTGGCAAATGCCAAACGTCCTGCACGGTGTTGGGCTGTAAGCACAACACCCACCTGTGGACGTCGGGCCCTCATACCACCCTCATGGAGTCTGTTTCTGACCGTTTGAGCAGACACATGCACATTTGTGGCCTGCTGGAGGTAATTTTGCAGGGCTCTGGCAGTGCTCCTCCTACTCCTCCTTGCACAAAGGCGGAGGTAGCGGTCCTGCTGCTGGGTTGTTGCCCTCCTACGGCCTCCTCCACGTCTCCTGATGTACTGGCCTGTCTCCTGGTAGCGCCTCCATGCTCTGGACACTACGCTGACAGACACAGCAAACCTTCTCGCCACAGCTCGCATTGATGTGCCATCCTGGATGAGCTGCACTACCTGAGCCACTTGTGTGGGTTGTAGACTCCGTCTCATGCTACCACTAGAGTGAAAGCACCGCCAGCATTCAAAAGTGACCAAAACATCAGCCAGGAAGCATGGGAACTGAGAAGTGGTCTGTGGTCACCACCTGCAAAACCAGTCCTTTATTGGGGGTGTCTTGCTAATTGCCTATAATTTCCACCTGTTGTCTATTCCATTTGCACAACAGCAGTGTGACATTTATTGTCAATCAGTGTTGCTTCCTAAGTGGACAGTTTGATTTCACAGAAGTGTGATTGACTTGGAGTTACATTGTGTTGTTTAAGTGTTCCCTTTATTTTTTTGAGCAGTGTACTTACTTTGACTGTGAAATGTGGTAGTCCCACCTAGCTATTTTAAGATGAATTCACTAACTGTAAGTCGCTCTGGATAAGAGCGTCTGTTAAATGACCAGAATGTGATGAGGATGGGGGATATGTAGGGCCTGGAGTATTTGCTGGTCAATGGTCTGGGCAGCCATCTTACCTCTAGCCAGGCCAGCATGGAGCAGAGCAGGAAGTCCCACTGGCTGCCCCCAAGGATTGTGGGAGAATGAGTCACCAGCCGTGACAGGAAACGTATCATCTCCACGGTGAGAGACAGCTGGGCCGCGGTCGTCTTGGACAGATCACTGGAACACAGAGGGTAAAGGGTTTTAACAGGTCACTGGAACACAGAGGGTAAAGGGTTTTAACAGGTCACTGGAACACAGAGGGTAAAGGGTTTTAACAGGTCACTGGAACACAGAGGGTAAAGGGTTTTAACAGGTCACTGGAACACAGAGGGTAACAGGTGTTTTAACAGGTCACTGGAACACAGAGGGTAAAGGGTTTTTAACAGGTCACTGGAACACAGAGGGTAAAGGGTTTTAACAGGTCACTGGAACACAGAGGGTAAAGGGTTTTAACAGGTCACTGGAACACAGAGGGTAAAGGGTTTTAACAGGTCACTGGAACACAGAGGGTAAAGGGTTTTAACAGGTCACTGGAACACAGAGGGTAAAGGGTTTTAACAGGTCACTGGAACACAGAGGGTAAAGGGTTTTAACAGGTCACTGGAACACAGAGGGTAAAGGGTTTTAACAGGTCACTGGAACACAGAGGGTAAAGGGTTTTTAACAGGTCACTGGAACACAGAGGGTAAAGGTTTTAACAGGTCACTGGAACACAGAGGGTAAAGGGTTTTAAAACAGGTCACTGGAACACAGAGGGTAAAGGGTTTTAATTTAACAGGTCACTCTGGAACACAGAGGGTAAAGGGTTTTAACAGGTCACTGGAACACAGATGGTAAAGGCTTTTAACAGGTCACTGGAACACAGAGGGTAAAGGGTTTTAACAGGTCACTGGAACACAGAGGGTAAAGGGTTTAACAGGTCACTGGACTTACAGAGGGTAAAGGCGTACGGTGCACACATCAGAGAAAGAGAGAGAAGAGCACAAAATGACAAAAGTTATTCAAAGAAACAGATCACATGGAACCAGATCAATCCAACAGCCGAACCAGGGCAGTTTAACCAGTAGTCCGAACACAGCAGTACAGAACCAGCACGGAAACAGCAGATCCAGCCACTGCCACCAGATACCAGCAGCCAGATCCAGCCAGATCCAGACATCTAGCCAGATCCAGCCAGCTAGACAGACAGATGAGCCAGACAGACGAGCCAGACAGACGAGCCAGACAGATAGCCAGACCCATCCAGCCAGACAAGCCAGACAGAGAGCCAGACAGAGAGACAGATGAAAAATAGCTATCTAGCTAAATCTGGTGCAGTGGGATGTTGTACATGGTCCCTAACAAATAAAAATACAAAAAACTGACAGACAAAGAGGCAGACAGACAGAGCAAGCCAGACAGATTCAGCTAGCCAGCCAGGCAGACAGACAGGTCTGCTCCCTCCTACCTGCTGAACAGGAACCAGTCTTCTTTGCTGTTCCTCCATTCCATCATGGTGACCAGTACAGCTAGTAGCACTTCCTCCTGCACTGGTGTAGAGGCCTTAAGACAGCACAGCAGCACCGCCACACACCCACCCACACCTAGAGGATGACAGAGGAGGGTTACACCCCCACACACCTAGAGGATGACAGAGGAAGGTTACACCCACCCACACCTAGAGGATGACAGAGGAAGGGTTACACCCACCCACACCTAGAGAATGACAGAGGAAGGTTAAAACCCACCCACACTAGAGGATGACAGGGGAAAGGTTAAAACCCAACCCACACCCTAGAGGTTGACAGGGGAAAGGTTAAACACCCACCACCACCAAAGGGGATGACGAGGAAGGTTTACAACCCACCACACCTAGAGGATGACAGAGGAAGGTTACACCCACCCACACCTAGAGGATGACAGAGGAAGGTTACACCCAACCACACCTAGAGGATGACAGAGGAAGGTTACACCCATCCACCTAGAGGATGACAGAGGAGGGTTACACCCAACCCCACCACTAAAATTGACAGAGGAGGTTACACCCCACACACCTAGAGGAGACGGGGAGGGTTACACCCACACACACCTAGAGGATGACAGAGGAGGGTTACACCCACACACACCTATAGGATACAGGGGAAAGGTTACCCCACACACACCTAGAGATACAGGGGAAGGTTACACCCACCACCCCTTTAGAGACAAGAAGTTCCACCCACACACACCCTAGAGGATGACAGAAAAGGTTACACCCCACACACACCCCAGAGATGACAGAGGAAGGTTACACCCACACCACCTAGAGGATGACAGAGGAAGGTTACACCCACACACCCACATAGAGGATGACAGAGGAGGGTTACACCCATCCACCTAGAGGATGACAGAGGAGGGTTAAAACCCACCACCCTAGAGGATGACAGAGGAAGGTTACACCCACACACACCTAGAGGATGACAGAGGAGGGTTACACCCACACACACCTAGAGGATGACAGAGGAGGGTTACACCCACACACACCTAGAGGATGACAGAGGAGGGTTACACCCACACACACCTAGAGGATGACAGAGGAAGGTTAACCCCCACCCCCTAGAGGATGACAGGGGAAAGGGTTCACCACCCAAACACCTAGAGGATGACAGAGGAAGTTAAAAACCCCCAAATCCACCCTAGAGGATGACAGAGGAGGTTACACCCACCACCTAGAGATGACAAGGAGGTTACCCCACACCCCTAGAGGATGACAGAGGAAGGTTACACCCACACACCTAGAGGATGACAGAGGAAGGGTTACACCCAACATCTAAGGGGAGGACGGTTCCCAATATAGGACATGACAGTTAAAAATTACCCTCCCCCCTGGTGAAGGGATTTTAAACCCAACACACCTTTAAGAACAAGTTATTTACAACCCACACCGGATAAACCGAACAACCTGGGAATTGGCGGTTACACCCCAACACCATGGATACAGGGAATGACCAGGACATTAACCCCACCTTTTAAGGGAATACCTACCCCTAGAAGACAAGTCCCACACCCCTAAACAAACCCCCCCACCCCACCCACCAAAACCCCACACCCAACAGCGAGGCATCACCACCCCGGGGGATTTGAAACCCCAAATCAACACCTGGAAGGATAAAGAGTTCCTCACCTTCAACCCCCCCCCCCCTATACAACCCAAACACCCACACCACCTTCCGGAGAAGTTTAACCCCACCCAAGAATCCCGGGAAGGAAGGTTTTCCACACCCCCCCCACACCCCCCCCCACACCAAAGAGTCCATCCACCACCTAGGATGACTTTGAAACCCACCCCTTTTTAAGGGGAAATACAGGGAGGGTTAAAAATCCTTATATAACCCCCCCCAAACCTAATACAGGGAGGTCCCCACCACCCGGGAGACAGAACCCCACCCAAGGCCT